TTTTTAAATATTTCATAACGAAGATTAAGTCTGAGCTGTTCAGAACCACAGTAGAAAAATACTCGTAAAACAATAAAGTAATGAAATAATTTGGTAACTATTGAGTACTCACAATGGTCCACGCACAGTGCTAGGTAACTGGGAGTTCAGTGAGCCTCCTGCTTACTTTATAAGTCTTTTCTGCACATATATTAATCATACGTGCTAGTAAAGGTAAATACTAACAATTTGAACTAGAAAGGAAACCATCGTCTAAAGATTTAGGTAGCAGATAATTCATTGAACTCTAGTTCTGTCAAAAATTATGAAAATGGGGTGAGTTGATTTAATTTCACTTTATTAAATAGCTATTGAGGCATTAGGGATACAGAGATGTGTGAACCATAGTCCCTGCTATCAGGGAACTCAATTCTAGAGGGGCAGATGAACCAAGAAACAATAAATACAGAACATTGTGATAAGTATTACAATAAAGGTGAAGAGGAGGTAGTGAGGAAGCCATTAATTTTGATGTTGAAAGTGAGTAGATGGGAAGAGGAATTAACATTTGACCTGGATGTTGAAAGATGAATAGATTAGTTAGGAAGTTTAGAAGAGCATTCTAATCAGAGGAAGAAAAGCAACCATAATATGAGTGCTTACTAGATGTCAGACTCTGCATATTATTGTAGCTCTCACAACAATCTTGTGAAATAAAGGGTTTTATTGTTTTGTTTTTAAATGATGACAGTTGCTGTGGATTTAAAAGTGAATGATAGAAATAAGTATGATATGACTAGGATTTGTACCCAGGTCCATCTGACTCCAGAGCGACCTTTTACCCCTTTCCTTATTCACTCCTCTTTTCATAAGCAAAGGCACAATTCCATCTCTAGTAAAAGATGGGCTGAGTTGTGCAGATCAATCTTTCTACTAAAAACTAAAAGTATTCAATATAAATCTTAAAATCATCAAGAATTCAACAAGTTAGAAAATAAAGCGGGAACTCAGAGGGGTAAGCTGAGCTCTGAAATTGCTTTTGCCTTCAGTACATTTGCTCAGCTGCATGAACTTGAATTTTGGTTTTGACAACCTGACAGAGTGCAGGGGACAGAAGTAAGACCAAATCCCATCGGAAATGCAGTATGTAATAGGAAACCCTTTTCCCCACTAACTCTACTTCAGAGGACTACACAGTTGTAGAGGGATGGACTAGAGGTAAACCCAGCCCGTGTTCTCTGCACGTACCTTGGCACTGAACAAAGTGGAGGGAGAGGTCCTTGAGGACTTAAAACTATTAGTTGGCTCTCAAAAGATTATGCAGCCCAAATGTGCACAGTTTTGGAGACCCAAAAACCTTCAAGCCATGAATTTAGTTTCAAGTGGTCTAAATTGATAGGGTCCCTAGATGCCCGGCAGAAGCAAATGCAGATCATTGTGTTGATATCAGATAAGAGTTTTAGGTCAAATGTATTTTTAGAGATAAAAAGGTCAGTTCAAAATAATAGAGGTTTCAACTCACCAGGAAGATACAACAATATTAAACTTACATAAAACTAGTAACATGGTCTCTATAATATGGAAATTAACAGGTACAAGGAGAAATAGACAAGTTTAAAATAATGTGAGTTTTTAAGTAATTGATAGAAGATGACAAAATTCCAAAAAGATAGATTTTGGAACAAATACTTAACAGTAAACCTAATGGATATATATATAGGATACTGCATCTAATAATTCCAGAATATGCATTATTTTCAAGTTTACTCAGACCATTTACAAAGTTTGTGTCTATATACTGCTTCCTTAAACAAGTCTCCACAGATTTGAAAGGATTAAAATCATATAGGGAATGTTCTCTGATCACAGTGTAATTGAGGTAGAAACATAAGATAGCTAGAAAATCTTATGTGTTTGGCAATTAAGAAACACTTCTCAGTAACCCATGCTTCAAGGGGGGAAAAAACGATAATGTAAATTAGGAAATATTTTAGAGTGAATGATAATGAAAATACTACATTCAGAGCTTGAGAGGTGCTACCAAAGTAGGAGCTAGCAGGAAATTTATATTTTTAAATGCTTACATTTAAAGTATTAATTAAAAGAAAAGAATGAAGTCTGAAAATTAACGCCCTCTGAGTCTATTTCAAGAAGTTAGAAAAAAAGCCAATTCTCTTAAAGTTGAAGGATGTAATAAAGAGCAGAAAACAGAGATAGAATCAATAAAGCTAAAAGTTAGTTTTTTTCCTCACCAAAGGATTATTTTTTTCATTGCTTTTCAGAGAGAGTAGAAGGGGGGAGAGAGAGAGAAACATCCATGTGAGAGAGACACATTGATTGGTTGCCTCCTTCATAGGCCCCAGGGAGCTCCCTGGGGATTGAGCCTGTATCCGAGGTAGTGCCCTTGGCAGGAATCGAACCCAGGACTCTTCAGTCTGAAGGCCAATGTTCTAACCACTGAGCCAAAACAGCTAGGGCTAAAAGTTAGTTCTTGAAAAGACAAATAAAATGAACCAATCTCTTGATAAGATTAAAATACAAACCTTATCAGTAATGAAAAAGGCTTAACCATACATAGAAGCTACAGACATTAAAAAGCAAAGAGAATATTGAATTTATGTCAGATAAAATGGATAAATTCTTAGAAAGTAAAGATGATTTCTATCAAAGAGATAGAAAACCTAACTAGCACAATAACCATTAAATAAATCAGTAGTCAGAAATCTTCCCACAAGGAAATTTCCAGATGTTTTGAGTGGCTTCACCATTGAGTTCTACCAAACATTGATAGAAATAATTCTAGTTTTATTAGTTATCTATTACTGCATAACAGATCACCCCAAAATGTAGTGGTTTAAAACAACAATAATCATTTATCATCTCTCTGTTTCTGTGGGTCCTTCAGGAAGGACTAGGGTTGTTGTGGCTTGGGATCTCTTCACGAGGTTGTAGTCAGATGTCAGCTGTATGGTAGCCTGGGGTATTCACTTCAAGGGTGTCTCACTTACCTCGTTGGCAAATTGGCATCCACAAGTTGTTTTCCATGTAGGCTTCCACACAGGACAGCTTGAGTGTTCTCATGATATGGTGTCTGCCTTTGCCCATAGTGAACGGTCAGAGGCGGCCTAGATGGAGGCTGTAATGGCTTTTATGACCTAACCTCAGAAGTCACATTATTTCCACTGTATTCTGTTGGTTACTCAGATCATACCTGACGTCAGTTAGGAGGCGACCGCACAGGGTGTAAATACTGGGGGGAGAGGCTCACTGGGGGCCATTTTGAAGGCTAGCTACCACACCAGACTTGTACTTACATTTCCAGAGAAGGGGGGAGGGAGACGGAGATATAAGAAAGGGAAATTGTAGGCCAATCTCACTTAAAACTGTATATACTACTTTTTTTTATCACTTCAGGGTCTCTTCCCAATTTTGAACTTGTATCTGGCATAAGCATTTTTAACTGAAATATTCCTCTACTGCCACCACTGTTGGAGAAGCTTAAGCTGAAATGCCCAGTGTACTGCTGGGTAGGAGCTGCCCCGTTATTGCTGAGTTAGCATCTGAAATCTGGCTCACAGAAATGCTTAATGACCTCCTGGACTTGGGCTGCAGCTAGCCCTTAGACCTTGCTTGCACACACCTGTCTGTCTGAGGAGAGTAAAATGGGGGCCTCCAAACCTCCATTTTTCCTTCCATGTGGGTTAGGGTATGGGGAAGAGTTGGGCAAGAAGTGACCTAGGTAGGAAACTTACTTCTAAGACACCCCAGAACTCTAGCTTTCAGATCATATTTACATCAAAACCCTGTTTCCCTTGCTGAGGAATCATGCCCCTGGAAGTGTAGCCTTTTTTATTTTATTTTTTATTTATTTATTTTTTGCCTTTTTTAAAATTAGGTTTCCTAACTCCCTCTTCCTGTCAGAGATTGTCTAGATTGTTGACAATCTAGACAATCTTTGGTTGAGCTGCTCAGCCTGAAATCTTTACTTCCACAGGGTTGGTTCTTAACATAAAGCTTGGCTCAAATGCTCCCCCACCCCAAGTCTTCATTATTCCCCTTTTCCTAATACTCTTGGCTATGAATAGAGCATCTAGGCTCCCACTGCCCATTAGTATACCCCCCTCCAATCTTCTGTCTTGTTGGTTTCCTTTGATGTGTGATGGAGCACAGAGACTGAGCCTACAGGAGAAAAATAAACCAGTTAAGGCAGTAGCAATGGAAACCTGCTGCTGCTTGCTTATTAGCTTTGAGGTAGGAGAGGTGACTTGTTTCTCTACTGGGAAAAGAGTTAAACTACTTCATTTTAAATTATGCTGCTAAAGGCATGTAGCAACCTCTGGGAAGAAATGAACAGTTTTGAGAATTTCGGTCTGTTCTACTCTTCCTTTGAACTGGGGCTAAGAGAGTGCGGGGCCTCAGGTTAAGGTGCTGCGTGTTTCATTTTCATCCAGCCCCAGTCCTCAGCCCCTCCCTCTACCTGTTGGAGTTGATTTATTCTTCAAGTTGCAACACAGGCCTCGCACTTGGCGAAGCTTTCCCCAGCTGGTCGGTTTCCAGTTTGCTTGCTGGTTTAACTGTACGCTTACTGCTTTTTACTACTCATTGGGTCTTGCATGTGTTATTTGATACTCTTTGGTATCTTCTCACAGGAAATGACTCATCTGTTCAATTAGGTTCTCTGCCTCCACAGCCCAGGGACTGAGGGGAGAGATCTGAGCATTCCCCTGTAACACCTCATACAGCACCTTGCACTATTCGCACTTATCAGATGGACTGGCTGAGTTACCTGATTGTTCTACACAGTTAGAGCAGTTTCGGGTCCTTCCTGCAGGAGCCTGCAATCTCAGATGGGTGCAGGTAGACATAGAGAAACTCTGCACAGAGATGTGAATCAACGACTAAATGTATTTCTTGGGGGAGGCACAGGGTAGGAGGTGAGTCCCCAAGGGGGAAGGATGGTTTTAATTCCATTTTCCTCCTCATTAAAATGCCCTTCTCGCATCCTTGGTCTCTTTTCACAGAATCCTGCCATCAGCATCACTGAAAATGTTCTGCATTTCAAAGGTCAGTATTTGGGTACATGCTCCCAGCTCTCTACGAAGTTGAAGAAGTTTAGTGGTGGTTTCTTTTTATTTTTATCTCTGTTTTATTCACTTTCTATTTATGCTCACCTCTCTGGTACTCTTGGGGTAAACTAGATTGTTTTTGAAATACATGATTAAGAAAGTCAAAGAATTTGTTTAAAATCCTGCTTTCCCCTTGGAGAGGCAGTAGATATAGCAAAAAAGAATCCTGGGCTAGAAATACGGAGATTAATTCTGCTGCTACCTTAGACAACTTACTGACTTCTCTGACCTATAAAATAGGGTATTGGGTTATAAGTTGTGTCTCTCAAACTTGAGGACCCACAGACATCTGAGAATATGTCCTCAGCATCCCCCAGGGCCATAGACCTAGATTGAGAAACATTGAGTTAAGCATGGTCACTTTAAGTGATACGTGGCTTCATTGCAGCTGTGAACAGAGATGCAGACACAGCCACTAAACTTGGTGGTTGTACTCCCTTATAAGGTAGCCATCTAGGGGACCTTTTTTTTTTTTTTTTAAAGATTATAATGAAACCAAAACCAGAAATTTTCTTAATGACCCTGATATTATACTTACAGACCAGTTTAAGAAACACTCTAGATGATACCTAAAGCTTTTCCAGCTCTGGCAGCCTTGGATTCTGTGAATCTGCCTCCATCTCCTTTCTCCTCAGTCTATCAGCACATTTGCTGCTATGCCTCAGAGGGTAGGTCTGGATTTATTGTCACCCAGTGGAGTGGGATTCGTCCTGATTTCTTTCTGTTCTTGTTCTTCGGAATGCCATTAGTAAGTGACTAGGGTTATGGGACATTGAAGAGTTTCTCTTTTATATGAGATTCCATCTGCCTTAAGATACTTGCATGAAATCACAGCCTGACTTTTGTATCTACTTTTCAAGATGAGAGCAGTGGTAGTAGCAGCTCAGGGATTTTTTTAGGATTTGTACATTTGAATAGAAGTTAAAGTGATAAAAGTGTATCTTTCCACTTGGAGCTTAGAGACTGTTCTGTCTTAAGGAATGTATGGTCCTAGGGAACAACTGCTACCTGTAGCAAGTATTAGGCAAGTTCTGCTACATATGGCCAGATGAGGAAATAGAACCGAATTGATAGGTCAGAGAGTGAGAGGGGAAGGGATGTGCAGCAGGCACTGGCACTGAGGCATGGCTTGATTTGGGGAGAGGAGCTATGTGAAGGCACAGGGATGGCATAATGGTCAACCCAGGCTCTGTCCTCCCAGTGCCCTTTGTCCTCTCTTAGGAATGAGTTGAGAAAATGATTTCTCTCTTTTTTTGTTCCATTTGGGATGTGCTAAAGGAGAAGTCATCTTCTCCATTTTCTATCCCTGGTTGAAAGGTGTTAGGGTCAGAGCTTTCTTTGAGACAATCCAGTATTTCCATGTACCCTGCAACTTTCCTTAACCCGATTTTTCTCTGCTCTGGATTCGGCGCCATAGTACAAGTGAAAGTTAAATTTATATCTATGTGATACCTTTGGCTTTGCTTTCTGTAATCTTTTCCCTGCCTATTTGTACTGGGCATTGTCAGGGCCACATTGGAAGATTAAGGAGCTACTCTGGAACTGACCATCAGAAGGACATGTGGAGATAAACTTTTGTTCAGGATTTAGCTTATCTAGCTGTTGAGTAATTCTTCTCACAAGCCCCCACTCATTTTGGCAGGAACCACTGACATTTGTATACTTCTGAAAGAACTGCACTAATGGATGGCCTTTCTCTGCTCAAGTTCACAGTAACCCTCACTTCTTTCTTTACAGCTCAAGGACATGGTGCCAAAGGAGACAATGTCTATGAGTTTCACCTGGAGTTCTTGGACCTTGTGAAGCCAGAGGTATATTCTCTCCTTTCTCACTTTCCTTTCTGTTTTTGGAAATAAATACTAATATTTTAGTGAAATGGGGAGCAGGGGTTGTGGGAAAGAAGATAAAAACCAAAGGAGAATATAGTTCTATTGTTTGGAACAGGTTTTAGCTGCAGAGGAATGTGGAAGTCAGAACCTGAGGCGATTCTGGGCTCTGCCACTTATTAGTGGCTTGAACAAATCCTTTTACTTTTTTTGAGTTAGTTTTCTTATATGTTAAATGATCTCTTATCCAATCTGCTGTTTTCCAGCTCTGATATTCTGTTTTTTTAGTGATGACAGAGGAGGAGAATGGTCCCCATAGAGAGCAGAGTTACAGAGGGCAGGTGACTTTCACGTGACTTTGCCAGAGGGGCAGTAGAAATCGGAAAGGCTAAGACAGTTGATCTTTAGAAAGAATGTGGGACATATGTTGAAGTTTCCCTTCTCTCAGAGCTTGACGAAGCTTCTGTAACAGGAAGGGAGAGAATCCAACACATGGTGTATTTCACTTTCTGGAATTACACTCTTTCTTATCTCTGGGGACTTGAGCACATGGCTCTCTGTCTATAGGAGGTTTCAGTTGCTTCGTTGTTTTAATAGCAGTGGTTTAAGGGGTGGAGAACTTATCATGGGTCTTGCTTTGGAGGTGAAGGGAGAAGCTATGTAGAAGAATAATGAACTGGAACAGCCTCTAAGAATTTGAGTGTAGTTGGGAAGACTCCCTGGCTGACCTTTGTGAAAAAGTTGTATCTGATCCAGTACAGTTGTGGCCTTGATTAGACCTTTCTAACATAAGGACCCTATGCCAGGGACCATTGATCATTTGAATTCAGTCATCTTCATGGGAGGAAAATTTGGAAGGTGAGGATGTACTTGAGAGAGTGATTGGATGTGGTACCTTGCATGATGTGGATCTGGCAGGAGGTGTGTCTAGTTTCTTCTAGGATAACCAGGAACACTCTGCCTTTCTTACCCTGATTTCCTCCTGTGGCATTCATTGGGAGAATCAGACAGTGCTGTTCTTACCAGCTCTTCCCTATACCAGCCCTTGGTCTAGATGTTCTCTTGTATCAGGATGTGTAGGAACAGAGAAGGAAGGGGAATTAGCCTACCTGCAGCTTCTCCGTATAGTCATACTGGCTTGGGGCAGTTTCAGGGAAGGAGAGGGGATGGGAAGGAAAAGGCATTCTCACATTCTCATTTTCTCTCTTAGCCGGTTTACAAACTGACCCAGAGGCAGGTAAACATTACGATACAGAAGAAGGTGAGCCAATGGTGGGAGAGACTCACCAAGCAAGAGAAGCGCCCACTGTTTTTGGCCCCTGACTTTGATCGCTGGCTGGACGAGTCTGATGCGGAAATGGAGCTCAGAGCCAAGGTCAGTAAGGACCCTAGGACCTAGACAGAAATCATGAGGAGCCCAAGTTATTTGGGCCACCTCAGATACCTCTAAGGGTCTGATAGAATAAATACAAACTTAGAAATTCAGTTAATGACCTGGAGACATGGTTTTATAGAAGTACTGGTCATATATTTTGTAGACTGTTCTTCCCTGTGGTTTGATTTTTTTCATGATTAGACTAGGGTGATTGGCTTTGGGGAGGAAAACCACAGAGGTTCCATCTTATCATGTCATATAATGGGTCCGTACTATCAACATGACATTGCTGTTGATACTGATCTTGCTCATGTGGCTGAGGTAGTGTTTGCCGGGTCTCTTTACTGTAATGTTACTTCTCCCCCTTTCTGGACTCTTTGGAAGGAAATTCCTATGCATAGCCCATGCTTAAGGAGTGGGGAGTTATGCTTCCCATCTTCAGGGTGGAGGATCTACTTACTATATTTGAAACTATTCTGTTCCTGGAGATTATTCTCTCCCATTTATTTATTCAGTCATTTAAAAAATATATCAGTAATGAATATTTATTTTATAGTTTGGGTTATAATTCTATACTAGTTATTTTGTTGCTCAAATTATTTCAGCTTTGGCCAATAGAACTCTTTCAGTTGGCTCTTGTGTCCCTTTTACAAAGCTCCAAGCTCCATCATTGCGGGGCAGGCTTTCTTTTTTGTTAATCCTCTCCCAAGCATATTTTTTCCATTGATTTTTTTTTTTAGAGAGAGTGGAAGGGAGGGGGAGAGATAGAGAGAGAAACATTAATGTGAGAGAGACACATCAATTGGTTGCCTCCCTCACGCACCCCGACCGGGGCCGGGGATTGAGCCTACAGCTGGCAACCCAGGTATCTGCCCTTGCAGGAATCGAACCTGCAACCCTTCAGGCCACAGGCCAGCACTCTAACCACTGAGCCAAACCAGCTAGGGTTGGGCCTGCCTTCCTCCCTCCCCTTTCTCCCTCCCTCCCTCCCTCCCTGTGCTTCCTTCCTTCCTCCCTTTGCTTCCTTCGCTTCCTCCCTGTGCTTCTTTCTTTCCTTAATTTCTGGCACTATAAGCTGCTCCAGGCTTATCTTTTTATTTTTTAATCCTCACCCGAGGATATTTTTTCCATTGATTTTTAGAGAGAGTTGGGGGGGGGAGAAACATCTTTGTGAAAGAGACACATCAATTGGTTGCCTCCCACAGTAGCCCTGACTGGGGGCCAGGGATTGAACCTGCAACTGAGGTATGTGACCTTGACCAAGAATTGAACCCATGACTCTTGGGTTTGTGGACTCTCCTGCCAGGGCACCAGGCTTATCTTGTGTATTCCTTGCTCCAGCCCTAGAATCAGCTATTTTTCAAGGAGCCTCTGTTCTTTCTATTGGAGAATGGTAGTGGAAACCAAGATCTGGGCTCAGCTATGCTTATTGCTGCTGGGGTGTCATTGCTTCTAGGTCCTCTCAGGTGACCGAAAAACGAACTATGTGTGTACATACTGCCTATGCAAATACATATATCTGTAAATATTTCTATATGTAACTACCTATATATTATCCTAATTTGAGTTCATACCAATGTGGAGACATGATTTTAGATTCTGGAAAAATTATACTAAAAATCTAGAGGTGTTAAAAAAATAAAATAGCAATCTATTTTCTGTCTTAAATTCCTGTTTTGTTTCTATGACCGTGACAAATCTGAATGTCTCTCCAGCTCTAAGATTTCAAGATTACCCACTTTGTAAATTAGAAGCCAGCTGATTGGCTTAGTTCTGTGAGCATTGGATGGGCATTCTGTGATGTGAATGCTCCTCAGTAAGGAGGACTTGGGCTTTTTGGCACTACGAGCTAGGACATTTTCCACAATGAAGCATGCACACAGTTAGAGGAGGTGGCTTTCAGGAGTCAGATCACTTATCCAGTATGTGGACTTTTGCAAGCAACTGGGAATTCTAACTTCTGTTCTTGAAAAACTTCTGTCCAAATTCTAGGAAGAAGAACGTCTAAATAAACTCAGAATTGAAAGCCAAGGCTCCCCTGAAAGTAAGTTGCCCCTGCTGCTATGGTAGTAACCAGTTAACTTGAGATGGGGGTATGGATGAGTGTGATGTGATAGGAGAGCTAATATTGTGTAGGTGAGTTGATGAGTAGTCCTTAATGTCCAGTGCTTATGCTGTGCACACCCACATTAGAAGCCTTATTTGTAATGTTTCCCTTCCGTTGGGAGCCTAACGTCACCTGAGCATACCAAGCTGGTATAGTAGTATGGAAGAACCTTAGTCTCTCAGACTGGCCTAATGTTAGGTGACAGCATATACTGCATGGACATGTGGAAATACCATGTAGGTCCAAGGCTACCCTCCTTCCAGCCTAGTGTTTTTCTCCCAACTGAGATCTTAAGGGCCATGCCACAGATAAGTGCGGTTGTCAACCTTTAAAAAAATCCATTTCTATCTGTCCAACACTGATAAGCAAGAAGCTCTGTAAGTGTATTATATTCTGGGTGACATAGATTAAATTCAACAGCTCTCTATTAAATTCTTGCTGCATTGAAAGCATTGTACTAGTCTCTTGAGATGTGGAGCCAGTGAATTCATCATAGCACCTGTGCTCTAAGAGCTTACATTCTAGAGGGAGGACTGTGAAAGTCTGTAAGTTAAAACTAATGCTTAAAACAGAGTAAGGGTTCCTCACTTTTTCATACTTTTTCAAGTTTTAGTGACGCTTATTTGGCATGCCGTAAATAAGGAAGTGGAAAGTTGTAGAGCAGTGGTTTTCAAACTATGTTCTATGGCAACCCAGGGGTTCCCAGAGATGCTTTGGAGGCATAGGCTACCTAAGTAGTTCGACTTCAGCCAAAGCAACTCTGCTTTTGTGTTTTATGTATTGGTGGTATAAATAAAGTTCCTCTTGAAAAGGTTTTATTACTCTAATAAAAAGATTTCAATAACTAGTAATTCAGAGAAATAGTCCCGTGGCAAAGCAAAGGAGAGGGGAGAAAGTTAGTGGAGGTAAAGAATAACAACATAAATGGCCACCTGAGATTTAAATTAATTTTTTGATTTTAGAGGGATAAGCTTCAAAACTATGTAAAAATGCTTATAGATGGATTTTTAGAATGTTAGGTAAAACTTGAACTGTTTTGTCTAAATTCATTAAGTTTCCTAGTGAAAGAAGTGATGGGGAAGTGTGATAAACTTTTATAGTTTTGAAGAAAAATTTTTAATTAGTTAAATGTTGCCAGAAGTCTGGTTTCTTTGGCCCTTTAGAATAAGGTTGCTTTTGCTTAACCACACTACTGTTTAGTGATTATTTGAGCGTCAACCAAGTGAGTATGCAGAATATCTGTAGTTGGGAATAAATGTGTGGCAGCAGAATCTGCACTCCAGCGCTTTTCTTGAGAATTGTCCTTTACTCCTTTGACTCAACTGTGGCTCTAAGTTCCTCACTCCTTCCTTAACTCTAATTAGCTGTGTTGCACAAACCTTAGGCTGCAGACAAAATTAATGTCCCTCATTCTCTTGCCTCTCAGATTGTAATTTTCCTCCTTTGGTTATGTCCTCCTTCTACCCATCCTCCAAAGCTCAGGTCAGACTTACCTGATTCCCACTTCCCAGCCCAATGTCATTTTCTCACCTTGAAATTTTCACAAGACGTTACCTGTTATTCTGTCTTGTATTATGGTTTTAGATTGTAAGTTCTTGAATCCCAGTAGTGCCCCTCTGTACCTTGGACATTGTAGGTGTTCATTTATGCTTGGTTGAATGAATATATGACCAAATATCAGAATTTTTTTCAATAGTTATTCTCTCTCTTTGAGCTAGTTCAACCTGTATGACCTTAAAAAAATTCAAGAAAAGAAGTAACTGTAGATTATATTAAGATGACAAGAACAGGAGCTGAGTATAGCCTCTTTCCCCCTACTTTAATGCCTCCTAAGATATATTCTCTTCTTGGATTTGTTATGTCTGTATACTTAACACTTAAAGGCTCTGAGGGGAAGACTGCTGAAAACATACCTTGGAGTGGAATGTTCCTCACAATTTTCCCTTACCTGTTTCTGTATGGGACCAGGAGCCAGGCTGGTGCACACCTGGGCCAGGTATTTGTGTGGGAACTTAGGGCACCCAAATAGAAAAGAGGGATGAAGTTAAGACTGTATACCCTACACACCCCCTTCTTCTGCTGTGACTATGACTACTGACTGCTTGTAACAGTTTACTGCCTTGCTTTACTCTTCAGCTCTTATAAGCTTGAAGAAAGGATACATGTTCATGTATAATCTTGTGCAATTCTTGGGATTCTCCTGGATGTTTGTCAACATGACTGTGCGGCTCTTTATATTGGGAAAAGGCAAGTACCAAATTTTAATGCTAGTTTTTTTTTTTTTTAGTAGATTGGCCCACTGCTCACCAAAGGTAGGTAATACTCTCTGCCTTTGGTATTAGTAATAACCCACCGTATTTGTATAGTACTTCATGCTTTTCATTGTGCTTTCACATCTTTTATTTCCCGTGGCCTCTGAAACAGGCAGGCTGATGTTCTGTCTCTTTAACAGGTGAGGAAACAGGCTTAGAGATGGCCAAAGAAATGGTCCATGTCCACACAGTTCACCAGGAGCATATCTTGGGCTAGCATCCCTTTTTCTGTTCACGACATGGTAGTTTATAACTAAAGAAATGGGTGTGATACTTCCAGTGTCAAAGTTATGCAAGTCCAAAGGGAGCTCATCTTTTTGGAGCCTAAATAGATTCTCAACTGGACTGTTCTAAAAATGAATGAGAAGACTATCATATAAATAGTTCTTGACAAACAAACAAACAAACAAAAAAAATAAAAAATAGTTCTTGATAAATTAATTTGCATGTTTAACAGAATTCTGGCCAACATACATGACTATGGAAAATATTTGAGAATGTGATCTAAGGTATTCTGAAATTTTATTGTGAGCAATAAATGGATAATAAAATTTGGGGGAAGAAAGGTAATGGGAGAGGACTTTCTCCACCTGATATGAAAGAGAGAGAATTAAAATAGTATGGTCTTAGTGTAAGAATAGACTAATTAGCAGAGTAGATTAGGTGGCCTAGGAATAGCTTTTACATTATATACATACCTGAATTATATATGGTAAAGGAATCATGAATCAATGGAAAGAGAAATACTATCCAGTACTTTTTTATTGGATAAATGTTTCCAGGTTAAATTGGGTTAGGTTCGGGCACCTTAGGGAGCAAGGGCTCTGTTTGATGCTTCTTCCTTACACTGTATACAAAAATAAGTCCCTCCAGGGATTTAAGAATTACATGTCAAAAAGCTAAGCCATAATAGGAGATATAAATAGATACTTATAAAAATCTCATGTGGAAGGTTAGGCTTTTCTAAGCTTAAAAGTGTTGGAAGAATCATATAGGAAAAGGTCAATATATTTGACTACAAGAAAACATCTAAATTCCTGTATATCTAAAAACATCCCAGCCACGACAGCATTGAAGATGAAAAGTACATTGAGGTTAGCAGTGTGGGGATGGAGGTTTGATGGAAAATTGCAATAAATACAAATCAAGGTTGATTTCTTGACATATAAAGAACTTGTACAAATTGATTTAAATATGTGAAAACTCCACCAAATAAACACAAGTATGTACAGGAAAGTCATAAGAGGAACTGAAACTAATATACAGAAAAAATGTTTAAGTCAGCAATGAAGAAAATAAAATCTAAGACATTTTTTATTATCAATTTTACAAAGTTAAAAAAGATATCTAAATCAAGAGGACCTATGCTAAAATAGACATACCAGTGGCTACTGGGAGGGTATGTAATTACAACAACTCTTGGGAAATCATTTGGCAGAGTGAATCAGGAACCTTAACTGTCCGTATCCTTGAACCTGGTAATTTCACTTCTGGAACTAAGTTCTAAAGAACTAATTGAAACTGCAAGAGAAGCTTTTTCAAAAAGATAGACATTATGGCATTACTTATATTAGTGACAGATTAGAAGCTACCTAAATGTCCAGTGAGGGATTGGTGTAGAATATTCCCTCATGTAATGTTGTGAAACAAATATGAAGTATTTAAAGAGTTTGTAATAACATGGAAAAATACTGAGGACAGTCTAAAGAAGTAACATATAAATTTATTCTTCCAGTTTGATCACACCCATATAAAAAGGTGAAAATGAACCAATCACATGAAAAGATTGGGAGGAAACGTACCATTTTCAAATGGTTTGAATGTGGATAATTTTTTAAAATTCCTTATTTTGTAAAATAGATATGAGGAAAAATATAAGTGTAATGGAAAAATATAAACTTTAAAGAGAGAGAAAAGCTCCTGTAGACTCTTATTCACTCCTAAATTTTTCCATCTGAGGTTTTTAGAAGGTGAATTGTAGTTAGCTCTAGAATTATTTGAAAGAAGTGCACATTTTTACAGCCTTCTTAACACCTTGGATCTGCAAACCACAGTTTAAACCAACACAGTTGGATTGCTTCTGAATGTTGCCGTGTAAGCTCTCTGGCTGTTAGGTGATGCAGTGTAAAAGCTGCTAAGTATCTGGGTCATGAGTTTAAAGTAAGCTGCCTGGATTTGTAATTTCTATTTTGGCTCTGAGCCCCTTCCTAACCACCTTCTGGAACAGAGCTGCTGGTTTAATTCTTCCCTATCAGTTCTCAGAGAGGAGTTGGGGCCTGGTACCCAGGGTCCTAGCTTTCCCTTTGCAATTTTCTCCTTTTGAATAAAGGATGTTGGTGAATGGCAGGTCCCACACATGTGCTTGTTTTTTCATGTAAACATGTAGTTGCTAAACTTCATATGCTAAGGACACAGCAGCAGATTCTTGGGCTTGTGTAGAAACTTATTTGAGCTTGCCTAGCTCTCTATTAATATTTTTTTATTAAATTTTTAATTTTTTTCTAATTATAAAAATGTGTACATTACAGAAGAAATCAGAAAATAAAGACTTAAAAATTCTACCATAGTCCCAACGAGAGCAGTAGATTCTTGGCTCCTTGGTTCTTGGCGTCTTTCCCATATAACTGCCTTAGGAACAGTTCCGAAGTGGAATTGTGAGATTAAAGGACAAGTTATTTTAAGGATCTTGATGCATAATAACTAGGAAGAGTATATACTATTTTATACTACTTCTGTTTAAATCCATATTCCATTAACATGAATGCCTTTTCTTACATTCAAAAAATTTTTTTTCCCAAATCATTAAATTAAATGTGCTGATTTAAGAAAGTTTGTAAAACGGGGGAAAAATGGGTGAAGAAGGTGTGGGAGAAGGAAGGGGAGGTTAATAAGTCATTGTCTATCACTATTAATATTTCCATACATTGCCTTTTAGCCTTTTTTGCCTCCTACAGTTTAATAATCATACTGTATATAAATTTTGCATCTTGTTTTTAAAACAATGTTATAAACATTTTAATGTTACTAATATTCTTTGTAACGTATCATTTTAGAAATAAGATTTCTATTCCTGAATTGAAACAAAGACCAATGTCCCATAAAATCAGAGGCAAAGCCCATAAGATCTAATTTTTGTTTACCATATGCCAAATCTTAAGTCACAACTTTCTGAGGTCCTCATTTTTTAAAGGAGAATGCCACTTAAAGTGAACCCCCTTCTTGATACCAGAATTTTCATTGTAAATGGTGACAAAAAGATTTGATGGGGATTTTGTCTTGAAAAAGGGGCATTTAAAATTATGAAAATAATTTTTTTATTTTATATATAGTAAAATTTAAATTGTAATTTTGCATAAATTTTTTCAAAGAAAAGAATTAGTCAAATTTTGAACTACTTATTGGTGGATTTTTTTCTGGTAAAATTATGCATTAGCAATACATACCATTCTTCATTTCACATTTGACTTTAAAGCAGGATTGTAAAATGAATCAGTTTTGCAAAAATACTTCAGAGGTTTTCTTCAGTTTTTGCAAGGGCCTCTTATTATTTATCTGGTATTTAAACCGTACCCTTTGAGGCTCCTACAGTGTCATCTTTGTTGGTAACTGCCCTAACTCTGCCAGATCCTCGGAAGCACTATACTTGGATTTAATAAGCATCAAAAATCCTAAACTTTCTGCAATGTGCAGGACAAACAGTTATCCTAGCCAAAATGTCAGTGGTGCCCTGGTTGAGAAACACTGCAAAGAGGAATGTAGGAATACAGGATGTCAGGTGAGGATCAGCATGAAAAGGAAAGGATTTTATATTACAGACCACTCAAAATTGATATATTTGCTGACCTCATGTAAGCAATAACTGTTATTTTAAATTATTACATAATATCCATGAAGTAGATATACTATAGTTTACTCAAACTTCCCACTACCTTATACATTTAGACAGTTTCTACTTTAATGCACTGAGAAATGTTTGAGAGAGCAACCTTATTTCTAAAGTTTTTTTCATTTTAGATTTTTTTAGTTAGGATAGATTCTCAGAAAAAGAATAATTAGGATTAAATATAGAAGCACAATTAAGGTTTTTGAAAGTTAATTTTATTCAATACTTTTGCACCTCTATTTATGATTGTATAATTTTTGAGATTTTAAAAGGCTAGATTGCATTCAATATATGCGATATAGTTTTAGCTTTAAGTTAAATGAGATGATGGAGCTGAAAAGAATTATTGCTGTGCCTTATATTATATTGCATACAATAACTGAATGAAGTCTAGGTATGCCTTTCTCCCTTGTCTTTTAAAATGAAAAGTGCATACAGTGTGGTTTATGTGCTTTCTGGTAACCAATAATTGACTCATTCACGATCACACAGGCCTGCTTTCTTCCAGTGCAGTTGGTTAGTAAACTTGAATCTGACTGGATATTTATTATACCTTTCTTAAAATTCCTTTCCTGTAAGGAGTTATATAGTTTGAGAAATTATTCTGTTGTGATTTGCCAGTTCATTTACCCTTAATGTACTTTGTCCCATAGAGTCCTTCTATGACACATTCCACACCATTGCTGACATGATGTATTTCTGCCAGATGCTGGCAGTTGTGGAAACTATCAATGCAGCAATTGGAGTCACTAAGTCACCAGTGATACCTTCTGTTCTCCAGGTATTGGACAGTTGATCTCAAGGGTGGGGAATGAAAGATTTCATTGTTTATTTAGTAGTTATGCCACAATCTGCTGAGAAGTCTCAATTAGTAAAAATACCTATTGGCACAGGAAAAGCATTGTTTTGTCTGAATAAGGAAGAGAAATTTAAACCTTAGGAATATTTTCCAAAGTCAACTTTTGCCATTTCAGGTTGATTTCATTATAACATCTTCATGAAATCACAGTTATACAAAGAGCTGTAAAACTAGGGAAACCTGATTCTCAGGCAGGAGCAGAAAATCCTACCCTTAGTCTTCTTAGAGAGAGATGCTTGGTCTCCTCCCAGCCTGGGTGGATGAAGGCAGTATAATACCTAGGAACTCTTTTTCCTTCAACTTTCATATATGAAGGTGATTCTTCTGACTTGTGTGGGGATCCCTCTCCCCAGTACATCTATGTATTTTCCTGATATTTGGAAGACAGTATCAGGAATGGGGCATCAAAGCCTTTCGTCCGCTTTTCTGTTTCTTAGCTATGCAATTACATATCACTAAATACCACCTACCCAGACACAGGGAGAAGTGGTGATTATTGGTTAGTCTTTTCTGGAGTAGTTTTGATAATTCTATCTTTTTGTGGTATACCAACTCTGGCATGCTAATAGTATCAGTTGCATGGTAAAGGGTGTTAGTACATAGCTTTGTTATTTCTAGGTTTTCTGCCCTTGGAAAGAGGCTGCTTTGTTTAGTTTAAAAAATAAGAAGGGGATAGTGATACCCACTAATGCAGAATAATGTTTTTTGTGTATCAGAGGCTAGTACAAATAAGCATTTGGGTAGAATTTCTAGGACAAGGTGGATGGGACTGGTTCAGTATCACATTGCATAGCTCCAGCAAGTGCCAGTGACATAGAATACAATGTGAATGAAGCCTCTAGGAGCTGGACAATGCCACATGATTCAGTGTGGATGATCTTGGGAACATAACATTGAGTAAGAAGTCACAGAATATTATGTGTAGCATGATTTCAGCACATTAAAAAACAGGCAGAGTGAAACAGTATACTGCTTAAGCATACATACATAAGCAGTAAACGTATAAACAATGAAATGCTTAACACAAGATAGTAGTTATTTCTGGGGGTGGGGGAGTGCCATACTGGTAATGTTCTATTTCTTAGCTTGGCTTATGCAGACACAGATGTTCATTTGGCAGTATCCTTTAAGCTGTGTTTGAATGTGTATTTTTAAAAATATACTAGTTATGATGATACATTTATACACATATGCATACTCATTTATCTAGAAAGACTGGTGTGGGCATTTAACTAGTTCCAACACTGGAGCAGGGGATTAAACCAGTTGAGCTCAGTCTTTTTCTATTTACCTTGAATTTAGTGGGGTTAGGTTTCAAATAACACATGTATATGGTTTTAAAAAATATATTCTTAAACTTTTTTCTCTCTCTTGGGTCCTTTTAATAGCTTTTTGGAAGAAATTTCATTTTGTTTATCATCTTTGGCACCATGGAAGAAATGCAAAACAAAGCTGTGGTTTTCTTTGTGTTTTATTTGTGGAGCACAATTGAAATTTTCAGGTGGGTAGAAATGCTAGGATGGTGTTTGTATGCTTCTGCTTTGGATCAGCTCTCTTCCAGGGTCTCATTTGGTTTGGGATTAAGGTTCCACCTGTGGAGAGTTGTAGTTGCATCTACGGGCTCCACAAAAGCAAGGCAGAGTTTTTTAAAGCTGTCATTGGATCCTACATAGTGCCAAACCTGGGCACTGGGGAGCAGAAGGAGAGACCCAGGGAAATGAAAAGACCCATCTTACCCTTCAGGATCTTACTGGGAAGAGAAAAATTCATGAAAGGGCTGAAGAAACATGGGATTGAAGGAGCAATCCAGGTTGGATGAAACTAGTGAAGACCACCCTTCTAGAAGGGATGGTAGAAATGAATCTTCTACTACAAGATTTCTGAAGTTTTAAATTGACCTCTTATCTGATTCTTCCATCCTCAGTTGCCAATAAAATATCTTTAAAAAAAATCCAATTAAAGTAGATGTATTCTTCTCTACCAACCATACATATTCTGTAAGTATGATTCGAGGTTAAAGGTCTTTGGTATACTTAAATGTACTTAATTTTGATAGCATTCATTTATCCAGAGATAAAGTGCCTGTCGATGTGTCTGTCATCCCTCCCTACTTGGAAGGTCAATCAAAACTAGGAATAAAGCCAAAAAACTTCTGAGCATCTATCCCACATACTCCACTATTTCAAAGAGGGTTCCTTTGAGACCTATACTTACTTTGTCATTAAAGAGAGTTCACATCCTTTGAGGACTGGGGGAGGAGCATGATGGGAGTTTGTGGGCAGACAGCCCAGGTTTATACTTCTGTTCTGAAGATGATGTGTGGCTAACTGTGAGATGGTTCTGTTTGAATGATGTTGTAGGGTTGCATTCAGAACCTGATGTGGCTTTCAATATCTGAATTCCTTCTTTTCAACAGGTACCCCTTCTACATGCTTTCCTGCATTGATATGGATTGGAAGGTGCTCACATGGCTCCGTTACACTGTGTGGATTCCTTTGTATCCTCTGGGATGTTTGGCAGAAGGTACTTTCAGGAACTTTAGGTTACAGCTTAGCTCCAAGGGATAGCTAAGCCAATAGGCCAGATCTTCCTCCCTCCGCCAGCCTTAGTGTGTGGATGTTGGACTTTTCAAGATTTTCCTCATAGTAGCTTCCTTCCATAATACTCCTGGTATCCAGATTGTTCCAGGGAAGTCGCTCATTTGGAAGCTGGATGGTCCTATATTGTGAGCTTCCTATTTATATGGTTCTTTTAATTTTCCAAAGCAGGTTCATATTGATGGCTTTATTTTATTTTCACAAACAATTAGTGGGTGAGTCAGGCAGGGGTTTTTCTCTCCACCTCATAGAATAGGGGACAAGCCCAGTGTTATCAGATGGCTGCTGCTCATTCATCTGTTGTCCGCTTGGAGGCTCATCTCTCAGGAAAACGGGGGAAACAGAAGAGGCGGAAGCCTCCTGTACAAAGGGAGGAGGAAGCACTTCCAGCAGCCTGTAACTGAAACTTGGAGGGGTTAGAAGGTGCTGTCACTGCATGTGACTGCGTTTTATTTGCTTCTAACAAGTTCTTGTTTCTGCCTTCAGCTGTCTCGGTGATCCAGTCCATTCCAGTGTTCAATGAAACAGGAAGATTCAGTTTCACATTGCCATATCCCGTGAAAATCAAAGTTAGATTTTCCTTTTTTCTTCAGATTTATCTTATAATGTTATTTTTAGGTAAGTATTGGCTCTATAATAGACTTTCTCTCTCACTTCTTTAGAGGGTAGACTAAATGATTCAAAGTTTTAAAAGCCTTTAGGAATCTTATTTCCCAAAGAGCAGTGCAGAGTTAGAGAAAGATGACTTTGCAGAACAGACCCACTAGGAGGAGATGCTATGTATGGGAAGCATTTCTTCCCAAATCCCGGTGGTGGTTATCTTTCTTGAAGTGCTCTAGGTCATTGGGAACTCACCATAATATATTTCATGTTTGAAACAATATAATAAGAAGCTCATTTTACTTTTACTAGTTTCAGTAGCACATTCCTTACCCAGGAATGTGGTAATACAAGTGGCCGCAAGAAGGAAGAACAGCCAAGAGATGTCATAAAGCCTTCTACCTAACAATAGGAGGCTCCTTTGCTCCTCATGTAAAACATGTTTATTATTGTACTTTTATATAAAATATAAGTTCTTGCCTTAATTCATAAAAATTAAAAGAAGGGAAAAATATATAAACCTAAATTATTGCAAATATAAGAGATTTATAATCCTTCCTAACTATAAGGACTTTTTACTTTAGATAAAGTTCTAATACATTTTAATATAATTTATGTATTTATCCCAAGTCTTGAGTTGGCCCTAAGTAAGTATGGCCGTCTGGTCTCTTAGCAACAGAGGAGGTGACAACAGATAGTATATTAGTTATCTATTGCTGTGTAACAAATTACCCCAAAATTTAGCAGCTTAAGACAACAAACATTTATTATCTCACATGGTTTCTGCGGGTCAGGAAGCAGCCTAGTTGGGTGGCCCTGGCTCAGGGTCCCTCATGAAGTTTCAGTCAAGCTCTCAGCTCAGCCAGGGCTACAGTTTCTATAGACTTGACTGGGGCTGGAGGATCTGTTCTAAGCTCACTCATTTAGTTGTGGACAGGAGGCTTCAGTTTCCTGCTACAGTTCTCCATAAGGCTGCTCATGACATGGCTCCCCCCAGAGCAAGTGGTCTGAGAGCCAGAAGCCACACTGACTTTTAAAAAAGTTGTCTAATTTTTAATTATAATATGTTTGACATATAACATTGTATCAATTTAAAGTATATAACATGTTCATTTGATACATCTATATATTGTAATGATTGCCATTGTAGGTCATAATTAGCACCTCTATCATGTCCACACTGCCTTTTATAACCTAATCTCAGAAGTGACATACTATCACTTATCATATATTCTGTTGGTTACATAGATCTACCTAGTAAAGTGTGGGAGGGGACTGCACAAGGGTATGAAATACTAGGAGGTAAGGATCACTGACTACCCCAGACAGTGATAGGAAGCTGACCAAAAGTAAACCCAAGAAGCCAGAAAGCCCAGCGGTTTTGGTCATTTAGTATTAGGGGAGAAGAGACCTACACTTAGGATATCAGCGCATGGCAGAAGCACAGTTAAATAATATGTTATGGGTATAGGTCATTTGCCAAAGATTAAATTTTATTCCATTTCTTTCCTGTTTCAGAAAGGGTATAATAGCCCTGGCCGGTTTAGCTTCAGTGGTTAGAGCATTGGCCTGCAAACCTGAGGGTTGTGGGTTCGATTCCTGGTCAAGGGCACGTACTTGGGCTGTAGGTTCCATCCCTGGCCCCAGTAGGGGCGTGCCCGGGAGGCAACCAATCGATGTGTCTTTCTCACATCGATGTTTCTCTCTCTCTCTCCCCTCCCACTCTCTAAAAATCAATGGAAAAAATATCCTCGGGTAAGGATCAAAAAATAAATAAAGGGTATAATACAATTCAGGAAGATTTCTAACCAAAATGTTAAAATGGTTGGTCGTTGAAGGGAGTAAGCTTCAGTTTGGAAAATGTACTCATTAAAAGAGCTGTTTATCTCTATTACTAGATAAATCTCTATTATTGTAATTAGGCTCCATGAGGTGGACATACTGAAAGTGTTAAAGAGGAATAAGTATTGGAAAGACCCTTAAAATATTTTACTAAAAAAGTTAGAAGAGTTAGAAGTATGTTAATGTGCAGTAACCCTAATGGCTTTTTTTCACGTTGCTTATGTGGGTTGCACATTCTAATTTTCAAGGTTTTATACTCATATCTAGTTTGCCTACAGTGAATATGTAGTTGTTCTTATTCTTCAGAAGAAAATAGATCCTAAATTTGCATGATTTAGAAGCAGTAATAACAACCAGTTACATTTGTATATAGACCAAAGTGCTTTTCTAAACCTGCCTTCTCTCACACTACATCTGCAAAATAAGTGTCTTTCACTCTGCTGTACAATGAGGAAACTGAAGTTGAGGCTAAGCCATGTGGAACCGAAATTTGTTCTTTCTGACTCTGAAATCCTATGCGTTCTAATTCACTAGATTGTGCTTCCTAGAAAAGGGTCCCACACCTTTTAAACTATTGCTCAATACAGGTTATCGCACAGCCTTGAATTAAAAATTGGGTTGCTTCTATACTTCAGATTTGTGTATTTTGTGTAAGTCTTACTTTAAAAGAAGGTAAAAGAAAGAATATTGTGAACTCCAGTTAAGGAAATGTTTAGGGATACAGGTGTAACTTTCATTGAAAAACATCAAAAATGAGATGGGAATTGGTATGCGGTAAAGTAAATGTAACAAGTTAAAGTTTAAATCCAGCCCGGCCGGTCGTGGCTCAGTGGTTAAGCATCAACCTAGGATCCAGGCGATCAGGGTTCGATTCCCGGTCAGGGCACATGCCTGGGTTGCGGGCTGCAGCAGATCAATGACTCTCTCATCATTGATGTTTCTATCTCTCTCTCTCCCTTCCTCTCTCTGAAATAAAAAAAAAAAAAAAAGTTTAAATCCAGGTGGTATTTACTGTACAGTGATTTAATCTTTTTTGTATACTTAAATTTTCACAATAAAATATGGGAGAAAGTGGAATTGTAAACCCACTGGGGAAAAATTGAGTTGTCTCTAGTGCATCGTTAATAATTTGTTAATAATTTGTTACTAAGTTGTACTTCCTGAGCAGCTGCAATAAGCATAGAGGGAGATGAAAAACACAACTAGAGACTGTCCCTGCCCAGGAACTTCTGGTTATAAACAAGGGCAAAGATTCTCACTTCTAACCGGCCTCTTTTCTTTTTCAGGGTTATACATAAATTTCCGTCACCTTTATAAACAGCGTAGGCGGCGCTATGGACAAAAAAAGAAAAAGATCCACTGAGAAGAGATTTAGATGACTTCTTGCCATTTAGACTTTTGAGCCTAATCTATAATTCTTAACGGTTTTACCTTCTTGTACTGATGTAAAAGTTTTTTTAAAGTTAAACTATTAAATTCTCAGTAAGGCTATCTTCCCTTTTCCCCAGTAACATCCTGGATTTATTTTATTAGTGTAGTACTTGCATGACATCTGTTTGTTCTTTTGTATTCTGTTAGTGACAGCAGACTCAGCCCTGCCCTCCAACCACTCCATGTCCAGTCACTAGTCTGTTTCACACAAGCCAGAGAGATTTTGTCAGTGCCCTGAACCTACTAGGTACTGGCCATTCTTACAGCTGGAATTTGTTCTTTTTGGCTATTGATTATGGAGAAAAAGCAGGACTTGCTCTGTAGGAGGCTGTTAAAGTGACCCAGGCAGGGCCTAATATATTCTGTACCCAAGGGGTTACTTGTTAAGTGGAGTGGCATTGACTTTTTAAAAAATCTATTTGACTCAGTTACTGATAAAACATTTCTGAGTCCAAGTGGGCATAGAGAACACATATTACCTCTGAATTTTTTGGCCTCTCTAAAGATATTGTTACTATACAGTGCTTACCTGTGTGGGCACAGAATGACTTGACAGGCACCAGTCAGAACCTTGGAACACCATGATCACTTACTTCATTCTGAGATGTCAGAACTATTTTCAACACTAAAGAAAGATGAAACATTAATTAGAAAATAATGAAATTATGAGAGTTACAACCCCAAATGGCTACAGGGGTCAGAAGGGTCCAACTGGCCATAAGACAGCTGCTGGCAATGCAGCCTGTAGCAAACTGAGAACACTAGAGTGGGCCAGTCTAAACATGCCTGCAAAACTGTCTTAGGCTGTGCACAAACAAAACAATCTTCCTTCCCCTGAAGTAGCTAAGTCCATTTACTTATGTACTTGTCAGAAGTGGTGGGATTGTCTGTTTTTGAATAGACCTCAAAACCACCTGCTTTTATTCTGCTGTGTTTCAACTCTGCAGTAGGACAGTGAACAGAGAATGTTGGCTGGAGAACCACCAGGTGGTCCTTTAATAAGATTCCTGGACGGAAACCCACCAACAGGAACTGAAAAAAATCTAGGCATTATGAAGTTTGGCCATTGTCAAAACATCAAGTTTCTTCTACTACATTCCAAATAAACCAAGTAAAATGTGTTACAAGTAATGCTTGCATAAAAGAATTTAAGGCATGATTGCGCTTTCTGTTTTGCCATTCCCGTTGTTCCTGGGGAAAAGGGGACTGAATGAGCTATGCTGTTTCTCTGAGCCCAAGATGGAAACCTGGCTTGACCTAAAAACATATGATTAGCATAGGCTGGCTGATTTTTCTTACAAGTTCATTGCACTGATGGGTATTTTGCATGTCTGTAACCTCTGTCAATATTTGTTTGTATTAAGTTCTGATGTTCTTTCACCTGACTTTCTGTGTGTGATTGGGCAGATCAGCTTTGCAGCAGATTATGCTGCATCTGTGGCAGAATCTTATATTCTTTGCTAAGAAAGCAAAAGAGTGTGTATTTCTATTAAACATTTACAGTCAAAATCCTAATAACTTGTGTTTAAAGGTAATTTATTTAATGGTTTTCAAGTTGTTAGTGATAAAGTCCTTTGTTCAGACAAAATATTATATAGCAGTTCAGCATGTTAAAAATGGCTGCTCAGGTTGAAGCCTGAGGGAGTAATACCTTAGGCAGTTCACAGAGAATTTGAAAAGCACTGATGATGTAAATAAAACCTAAAGAAGCTACAGGACTTGCCCAGGATGATGAAACTAGCTGATGAATGGAAGGGTAGCTGACTTGTAGTGACCTGTCGGAATCTACCTGGATGGAACCTGGCCCGGGCAATGAGGCCTAACCAGTGTCAGAAACAAGGCAGTATGGAACCCAAGGAACCCTCATGATTTGTCAATCTGCCACACAGGAAGCTGAAATTATACCCAAGTAGAACAGATCAAAAGGCAAAGACTCATTAGTTTCCCAGTAAAACCATTTTATAGAAAATCAAATATTTTTTTTCATTTAGGAAAAAAAGACAGGAATAATTTTATACATTTATGGTTGCTATTTAAAAGTCTGTATCTCAAGACGTACCCAAAGCACCTACGGGTTACCACCAAGTCTGCCCAAGTTCTAAGAAGAGTTCTAAAACTTAGTGGTGTAGGGCTTGTACTTAGCTAGTCCCAGACAAGTTTGGGTTGCTCACTCCAAGGGCAGAAGCTTGAAAATGTCCTTATGATTGAGAGGAGAAGATGCCTTTCAGAAAGTCAGAGGGCCTTTGCGGCCCTGAGGAATGGGGAGAGCTCTGTGCCCATCAGACCTTCAAGCTTCTCAGGAGATGTTCCCATCATGGGAGCAACAGGTGTTTTTTGGGCTGAAAGACTCTGAGCCTCAGGAAGCTAATATCAAAGCCCAAGCAGTCAACCACCCTTCAGAGCCCCTCTCAGACTTGTCATTCAAACCAGCAAGTGGTGCTTCTGAGGCAGCCTCAGGGAGGTCTTCGGGTAGTTATGGCAGAGGTGAACACTCTGGAACAGTTTTTACTCTAAATCATTTTCACTTGAAATGAGGAAAGGAAGGCTCCAAAAGTCAGCTTCACAGTCTTTCAGTGCTGCTCCCAGAGAAGTCTGTCTGCAAAGGCGTGATGTTGTGGTCATAGCCGGCATACTCAGAGGTGCCGGTACTGGCCAGCTTGAGCTGCTGGGCAGCGTGGGTCAGCTGGAATGCTGCATCAGGGTGGGCTGTGTCCGGCAGCAGTGTGCACTCCCTTTCCAGCATGTCAGCCACCCCCTTGAGCAAGTCCAGGAAACCAAAGGCCAGGGCAGCCTTTCGTAAACGGTTCAGCTCCTGAAACATTTAAAAAACATCAATGTTCCTAAAATGCAATTTCCTCATCTCATACTTTTGTGTCTGTGTGTGACAGTAAAAGGAGGTTTTTTTATTCAAAGGTGTAACTGGTAAGTAGATTTGTTTACAACCATTCTTGTGAAGTACTTTTTAAGAAAATACAACCACCTTATCTGCAAAGAGACACCTCAACTATGATGACCTAAATTTTGATGGGTAATGTACATGATTAGGCAGAAAATAGTTAAGTTCACACTGACAGAGTAATTATCAAGTTCTCAGTCAAAACTCCATTTGTGGTCCCCACTTCTTGACTGATTTCTATTCCCACTTCATCTTCTACTATCTTGTTGACTGACTTCCTGACCAACTCCCGTCAACTCTGTCTTCCTGACCAGCCAGTCCAGCCACTCCTCCGTCTGGAATTATCACATACATTGTAAGTGCTCAGCTTGGAATAAGTTCTCTTTGAACCCTGAACTTAAGTGAGCATTTTTATGTGAGAACAAATGTTTGTACAAAGATGCCTGTAACGAGAGTGTGACGACACGGCTGAGAAGCGGTTCCTCTACAGGTGATCAGAAAGCTGGGTGAGGACACTGAAACACAGGTCGTCAACTCCACAGTTGATGACGTATGCAAACATCTTGAGGCACTTTGCATACATCGTTTCATTTACTCATAACTCTAAGGAGGGTTCCTTTTCCTCTGTAGCTCAGGTATGGAAAAGGCTTGTCCCAAACCTCAGAGGGCTCTTAAGACTCTCAAGCCTCTCGGGCTGAATGACAATAAAGGCTCTGGAGGCTCTGGAGGCTCTGGAGGAGTCAGGAAATCTGACCTGAAAGACTGCCACAAAGAGGTGGGGTAGTGAATGGGAGCAGAGAAATAGGAAGTGCCGCACCAACCACATAGCTGTGCGATTTGGGCAAGTTGTGTGGCCTCTCTGGATCTCAGTGGCCTTACAACATGAGAAGGAAAACCTCTTCTCTGCCCAGTGCAGGAGCTGATGCAATCGCCTGGTAGAGGCCCTTTCCAGCCCTGATGTGGGATTATATGGAACCAGAAGAGAGAAATGGGCTTTCTGAGCACTGCTTTATCATGTTAAACAAGTGTAAAGTTCAAAAGGCCAGTGTACAAGAGTGTCGACTTGGACAGACAGCTGATGACTGCGTGTAGAAAGCTGTGCAGGGAGGACTACAGCAAGCGGTCATCAGTACCTGTGTGCATTACGGGCTTCAGTTAGGGGCATGGCAGGCTGGTCAGGACTCTGGCTGAACTGATTAAGGTTGCTCTTGCTTGATTTCACCAGCTCACTACATAATTAGGTTTGAAGACAACAGTGACAGAAAGGTAATGAAATAACATCCAGAAAAAGTGGCATGTATGTTCTCTGGAAGAAATGCTGTCCTGGGGCTGGCTGTGTGTCTATATTTTAAGATTAGCAAACTAGGACACAACTGACAACACTATACCTCACACTGACACTTAGTGTGATTTCAGCCAAACACCAGGACGGGAGGAATGAGTGAGGTTAAATGCCCCACACTCCACCTCACCCCTTGTAACTTTATTCCTTCCACCAGTGGTTCTGGATCAGCCAGGTGTGATTCCTGAGGGCCATCTTTTGCAATTCATAAATGTGCAATTTTAGAAGCCATTCCTGGGAGAGCTTATCTGGTTCAGTAAGAATGTTCTGGGCCATCACCATCCCAGAGCCAGGAAGTCACGTACAATAGTTGCCTGGGGCTAGGTTAGATATCTGCCCACAGGGGAATGGTGAGAAGGGTTAAGGGATAAGAGGGTTAAGGTCCTTTCAGATCCTTCCCTCAGCCAGTCACAGTAGCACCAACACAGAGAAACCCTTCTGCACAGAGCCAGGCCATTTAAGCACTTCCAATTCTTGGATTTTAGGGCAAAAACAGACCTATTATTTCTGTTGACTTTACTGATGGAAAAACTGAGGCACAAGCCATATATTTCTAATCCTGGTCCATGCTCATTCTGCTACCCCATACTAACTATGGTGAACCATTTATTTTTGGCACACATCCCAGGGCCCACCTTCCTCTACTGTAATTCTGACAGTCTCACCTTATAGAATGTCTGTGTTTTTTCAGGTAGTTTTCTTGCATTTCTTAAAATCTTCTGTACATCTGTCTACCAAGGGTAAAAAGAATTCAACATCAGAATTCTGTGGTAAAGGGGAAAGAATACAAAAGGATGGTTCTAGATGTTTAAAGAAATGAAAATATGCACAGAGCTACCGTGTCAAAACGAGGATTCCTTCTGAGTTAATGTCACTCCTTTGTTCAGTATCAGTAGAGTACCTCCCTCTTTCAAAGTGCTTGATAATAAATCCCTTGGTGACAGAAATAAACTTGTCTCACAAAAACCCACCCATTAATCCAATATATATGGCCAGCTGCTTTTTTTGACTAGGGTGCCATTCAATGGGGGTAAGAATAGTTTCTTCTACAAATGGTGGTAGGACAACTGGAGAGCCACACAGTAAAGAATAAAGTTCGACCCTTACTTCACACCATATACAAAAAAGTAAATAAAAATGGATCAAAGACCTAAATGCAAGAGCTACAAGTCTTACATTTAAAACTCTTAGAAGAAAACATGGGGCAAATCTTCATGACCTTGGAATTGGCCATGATTTCTTAGTTACAGCAGTCCAGCAACAAAAGAAAAAAATAAATCTGATGAATATTCATAGCAGCATTATTCAGAATAGCAAAAAGGCAGAAACAATCCAAATACTCATCAACTGAATGAATGGGTAAACAAAATGTGGCCTAGTTATACAATGAATAAAGGAATGAAGTACTGATATATGTTACAACATGAATGAACACTGACATTATGCTTAGTTGAAGGAAGCCAAACCAAAAAGGCCACATATTATATGATGCCATTTATATGAAATATCCAGAATAGGCAAATCCATGCAGACAGAAAGCAGACTAGTGGTTGCCAAGGGCTGGGGGAAGGTGGAAATATAGAATGACTTGCTTAATGGATACAGGGATTCCTCTTGGGATGATAAAATGTTCTGAAACTAGGTAGTGGTGATGGTTAAATAACATTGTGATTATACTAAATGCCACTGAATTGTATACTTGAAAATGATTGCAATGGTAAATGTTATGTGTATTTCACCATAATAAAAAAATATACCCACTCTAACATAAAAATTTTTAAATAATTTTAGAAAAATTAAAAGAAAAAGAAAAAGAAAAAAAAATTCAGCTATCTTTCCAATAGGGAAGTTTTGTGGTCAGGGGTGACAGAAAAAAGAGGGAGAACCTAATTTTCCAACAAAGAGAAGGATCCCTCCCACCTTCACCATGGCAGGATGTGTCTAGTTTCTATGAAAAGGGGGACTATGCCATCAACAGAAGCTACTTCTGTTGTCAGGTGGCCTCACTGCCTCTTCTCATCTGGCTTAAGCTGGACTCATTGGAAGAACGAACAAAGAAAAAACAATGACACTTAAATGGAAAAAAAAGGCTCAAAAGTGATTTTTAAAAATAGGTATAAAGGACATTATGTCAATGAATGAAGAAATGTCACCGAGTACCTTGCCTGAAAGTAGCATACCTTGGTAATAGTCTACTCTCAGCTTCCCACAAAAGTGTGGAATTACAGTGTAATGCTATGGTTTGGGCTTACTGTGGGGATGGAAGAAATAGCCACATGAAGATTTTTACACCTTTCTCAAAACTGTTGTTAAAGATAACACCCATTATATTATTTGATGCCTGCCTCAGCATGTCCAAAATTAAACATTAAAATTCAATGCCAGGAAATGCCTCTCTAGAAGAACTGATGTGTTTACTTTTACCAGACATATAACCCTTTATAACATAAAACTCTACCTGTTTCTTTTTTGACCTTGGTAGCAGGAAGCTCAGAGCCAAATTGCTCAAATACAATTATTTTGCCTTGGGTTCCTGGAACAATTGTCTCCCCCTTACACTAGGTTTTGTATTGATCTAAATTTTGTAAAAAATGATTTTGCTGCATACGTGTTTTACTGTAGGCAACCTCAAATCGTTTTTGGAAATAATGACAAACATTAGAAGTAAATGAATTACTAAGTATCAAAGGAGAGGAAAATCAAATCAAGTGTTTGCCTGCCTGCCAGAATCCCTCTCCTGTCCCCAGGGGAAAGCAATGTGAATGGTAATGTTACCTGCAGGCCACTGGGTTTGATCCAGACAGTCACATTCTGGGCATAACTGCGTTTGTTTTTGGGCTGAAGGGGGAATGGGCTCTTATTGTCATCCTCACCATAAGGGTTTTCTTTAGCATCTTAAAAGAAAAAGACATTCTTGAAAAGACATCTGGAAAAACACAATCAACTACATTTCCAATTAGGCTAGAAGCTTTTTGAAATCATTCAACCTTCTATATCCTGTTACTTCCTTAATTAAGAAAATCCATTAACTTCAGTCAGGTTGGGGAAATTGTTCTCAGTAAAAGCCACTGATGTAAGAGATGAAGGCCCATGTAAGTGAAACGCAGCTTAAAGTTTTTAAAGAAACAAGCTTCACTTATTTGCTAGAGAAGTCAGAGAAGATAAAATGAATACATACAATAAAACTAATGTACTACTCAAAAAAATAAAAATAAACATACGTACTGAAACTCTGTATACCTTAGTCCAGCACTCTCCAATGGAACTTTCTACGATAACAGAATGGCAACCACTAGCCCACATGGCCACTGAACACTTTTGTGTAGCTGGTGTGACTGAGGTACTGAGTTTTACACTTTGTTTATTTTAATTAAATAGCCTCATGTGGCATTGGCTACTGGATTAGACAACACAGGTATAGGCATTGGGAAAGTTAAAAAGGAAAATTATATATAGCCAAATTAAGAAAAGAGGCAAGGGAAGAAGTACTTTCTGGTGAAACATACCCCACTATTTATTATGGCTTATTAGTTTATTGCTTCCAAAGGATTAAAGCTACATTGGTTTTATAGCCATATGGATAAATAAGTGTTCCTGTTTTTCTACCTGCTTCCTGAGCTAATGAAACTGCCACAAACTTACAGAGCATACTTCTCTCTATTGGCTTATTTTATCATTATTGTTACTACCTTCTGGGGTAGACAGAGCAGGAATCTTTCTCCCAACTAGTCAGGGAGCTTAAATCCCTTGCCCAAATGTTCATGTTGAAACTGGAATTAGCTCAGTTTCTCTGACTGAGCCAGAAGCTTTCTAACCCTGATTTGGTCAATAATTTAAATGCTTTACACTGGCCCATACTACCTCCTGACATCTTTCCTCCCGACCCCTCCAAAAAGTACTGACCCAACTTTCAGACATATTTTCATGAAGACTTATCTCTACATAAACCTTTTCGGTCAGGCCAAGATCCCAACAGTCCTTTCCCATGCAACATGCTTATTTTTAACTTCCCGACCACTATTTCTGTTATTTCCCCTGCCTGGAATGCTCTCCTTTGCTCATTCATTTATTCCCTCACTCACTCATTATCGATACTAAGAACCCACTATGTAGCAAGCACTGTGCTAGGAAGTGTTGCTAGAGAAGATATTTCTCTGTCCTTAAGAAACTTATAGAATAAAAAATGTTCATTTAATTCCACTACACCCCATACACTAAACATATACAACTTCTCTCTTTACAGCAACCCTCAGGGTAGATATTATTAGTCCCGTTAAAGATGAGGACACTGAGGCTCAGAGAGGTTGCACCTGCACAGGTTTTCTTAGTGACTCAGCTGGGCCTGGTTCCAATGCCAACACAGATTCAACCACTCAACACTGCCGCTCCTCACCTACCCAAACTTACATTCCAGGTCCAGGTCCTAGTCTACCTTCAACATGAAGTGGTTCCAAGACCCTTCTATTCTACAGCACTCGGTATGAGGACCAACATTTCAACATCTAATCACAGCCCATCTTGTACAGTCTCTAATTGTTTGGAACCTATATGTGGTAAATGGCTTAGCAGACAGAAAATAATGCATTTATGAAAAAAGAACAGGAGATTCTTAGAAATAAGAAATATGATAACAGAAATTTAAAAATAAACATTCCAAGAGAAAGTTGAAGATGCCTTACAGAAGGTAGAAAAGAAAAAAACAGAAAAATGGGTAGGACCAGATAAGACGACTGACACACACACAAACACAAATCACAAGTATATGTTTGAGAAAGGAAAAAGAGAGACCATAGAGAGGAAAAAATCAAGGACATAATTCGTTCCCAGGACTGAAGTACACTGAGTGCCCAGTACAATGAACAAAGAGATCAGCAACCAGGCATGTCATTCTGAAAATCCAGTAAAGCAGGGACACAAAGAAGAGCCCAAGGAGCGCAGGGGAAATAAAGATCAACTCAAAGTCCAGGCGGTCAGCACGTCACCAGACTCTCAGTAGCAAGCTTCCAGAAAAAACAACAGAGCAATGCTTCAAAAATCTAAAGGAAAATGATTCCCAACCTAGAACTCAATATCCAACTAAACTACCAATCAAGTGTAAGGGAAGAAATACAGACATTTCCAAATTATGCAGGATTTCAAACATTTACTTCCCATCTATCCTTTTCTCAGGAATATTCATGAAACAGGAGGGCCACAGGAGAGCGGTGAGGGGAAGACTCAGAATGACAACTATGCAACAGGCTAAGAGAAAAACCAGTTCATTTTATAAAACAAGAGGAAGAAAGATGACTCTAAGAAAAAAAAGGAAACTGACAAAATCCCTGAAGAATGTATTTTACTTAGGCAGGAATTAGTGATAGGTAAACAGAAAACAGCAAAGGAAAAATAAAGAAAAGAAAGTAGAGGGCCCGGCCGGCGTGGCTCAGCAGCTGAGCATCAACCAGTGACCCAGGAGATTGAGGTTTGATTCCTGGTCAGGGCACGTGCCCGGGTCGCGGGCTCCATCCCGGTACGGGGCGTGCAGGAGGCAGATGATCAATGACTCTCCCATCATTGTTTCTCTTTCT